TACAACAAAAGTCAATTGAAGATTATTTTTCTCTTTCTTAATTAGTATAACTTTGATTTGTAATACTTAATATAATTCATAATAAATTACAAATTACAATGGAGTAAATAACTAAACCATTTTTTTATAGTCATATTTATGTATTTATTATTAAAATGTGATTAAAAAAATTTTTTCATCTATAGTCACACCTCCTTATAATCATCAAATATAGTCTATCCCAAATGTGTGACTATAGAGGGAGTTGACTGTAAATGAGAAGAATCAGAATTTTTAGATTTCATTAAAAAAGATACATATGAAGGATTTGCTCTAAAAGAATATAATAGACCTTTTGGATTCAGAATAAAACAATTTATAAACAAGATCCTTTATTATGATGATGAAAGGCTGTATTTTGTAGAGGACGATCCTATATAAGTGGACACGCTTGATGCTCGAAGTTATTTAATTCACATATCTTAGCCTGAAACAGAGAACAAGATTAGAGCTAATATAGATCTTATATTTTTTTTATAACGCAAGAAATATTCAGTTATTTTTTAAGATACTTAGCCAATCAGATTAATTGAATCAGACAAACTATCAGATATGGCTAAAAAATCAAGGAATAACCAACGCAAGACCGCAGGTAAGTTCACTACTAATCCCACACAGTATTTGCCATTATGTAATCTGGTCAAATATGAACACATATATGATAGGGCAATCGGCTTTATTACTGTCAAAAATATAAAACAAAACAGAGTTGTAGGCGTATTTGATTATCCTGAGCTATGTGAATATCTAGAGTCAGGTGCTTATCATTAATATTATTTTTTCAATTAAGGATATAGGTCCTATAACAAAGTATGGGGTTTACTAGCAAATTACACAATATGGAAAGTTTAGATGATATTATAGAAGATGTGAATAAAAATATTAAAAAGGTGTTTCTAGCAGGGGTTGTGCCTGAACTTTGATAAGAAGTCTATATAATTGGTCTTAAATTGACATTGAATAGATTGGCACGAGAGCTAGAGTTTGCATAAAAAGATGATTATTCTTCTAAGCCAGTCAGTCTGAAGCAGTGATCACCAACTCGAAAGAAATTGCTGGGCCACTCCTGTGTGACAGAAAAATAAGTGGATCATCAGTCAGGTCTTGTGCGACATATTAATTTTCGCATATATATATTCAAAAGAAAATATTAACTAACTAGTATCCTATTTTTTTCCTATACAATCATGAGAAAAATATGAGAGAAGGTCTACACGCAATACAGGACCAGCTCTAAAAGTAAATATTAACGTTAAAAGCATATGTTATAAAGGGGTGAGGGACTCCTAATTTTGAGATCGCCAGACGTAAAGCCAACTATATCTCTCTCCAGTAGATCTTCATGTGAAAAGGTTTGAAAATTCCGTTTGCATGTATTTCTATAGAACTCTTGGCATCAGACGACAATACTAATTACTATCTCCCCCATACCTCCTTAACTTTTCTCAGTAAGATATAAAGCATGTAAGGGGATGAGGAAGTTTAGCCAACTTTCCACAAAAAATATTCCTGTAAAAAATAGTTTTACTAGCGTAGTTAACGCAAAATAAGGTATGTATATGCCAGAAGTTATGTATGTTTGGAAATGAGTTTTTTCTCACTATGGGCTTTATATTTAGGAAAGTAAGATGTCTTTTATGGCTGACACGATAAAAGGATGGGAAACTGAAAGACTTATCAGCTTTTTGTGAAGCGATTCTAATTTTAAAAGCTTAAAACTTGACTAACTTTTTTACGAAGCTTCATGATGAACAAATCGCCGGTCATTTATTTCTCAAGCTAACCGGATGGGAATTTAAGGAATACAGGATGACATTAAGACAAGCATTAGAACTTGAGGATTATATTAAGAATCTATGTGAGTAATTATCCAAAGGCGCTTTGCATGGCATTATGATTGTATTTTATTGATAGGGTTCTCGTTATTCTAATAGTTTTATTTTATAAAATCAAGATAATTGAAAAGGAGGATTAGCAATTCACTATGTAAAAGGGTCTGGTTTGAAATCAAGCGATCCCCCAACTAGTTAGAAATTTTTTATCTATATTATGTAAAGCGCTATATTCGCAATTTTATGTATTGTAGGCCGTGAGTTTCAGCAATGTTTTTTATTTCATAAATAAAGTATTATTATTTTATCGATACATGAGAAACAGGTCACGTGTAATGATACAATGTCTATGCGATATAAAAACCTATATTAACGCCTAGTAATCTAGTAATTTCTTTCCTGAATAGAAATAAATTTCTATCCCATTCTGGAACGTAACACTATTTCTTATCTGAGCTAAACTAGCCTATATAAAAATATAATGCTATATCTACTTCAACAACTGAACACGACTCTTACTTGGTTGAAAACTGGGATACAGAGACCCTTATTGATTATTTGAAAGAGCAGAATCTTAAGCTCAATGATAAAAAGCATTATGATATTCTTCGCAAACTTCCTGATAGACTCGCAATAAAACTTGCTAAAGAAATTAAGGCTTTCAAAGAAAAGCCAAAGCGTGTGTTCTCGTTGTATCGCAGTTTGAGTGAGATATTGGCAAAATATAACATTAATAATGATAGTATAACAAGCATACCTCAGTTCGCTCCTATGCATGCCAACTTTTTTCGTTAAGAAATTTTGGACTTATAAATTCCAATTATAGACCACCCTATAGAGGAAAATTCTCCAGAGTTTAAGTTTTGTATTGACGATATTCTTCGCAGAATAAAAATATGGGTCCAGTTGTTGACAGCAATGAGGCTATGCGCTGTGAATATATTTTAACAATTCTTTACACAGCTGTCAGTCTTCTCGAAGGTTTGCTCATCTCGCTTCAGATGACAGTCACTGGTGTTGACAGTTCCAGCCGTGTGGACTATACAATCAAAAAAATCATCAAAGAATTGTTCGAAGAAATTATTTGCATAACTGAAGGAAAGCAAAATCAACCGGGTAAAGAAGTAACGTAAAATATAGTACAATGTAAAAGTTTGTGTGATGTAAGTGGTGATAATTTATATATTCTTCTTTTTTCTTATATACTAACTTATCGGTTATCTGGAAAATAGATGAACCTAAATATGTTCAGGAAAAAGTGAAAGGCGGATGAAGCATTCAACTCAGAATATGAGTATGTTTATGGCATTGTCACAACAGGTGGGATAATGTTTTGGATGCTATTATTTTTTCGGCATTAATTTGTGCATTACTAACTCGCATCTTTCTTAATTTCAGCCACAGACTGGTATTTTATCCTGCATAGCACTGAGGCTATCTACTGCACGAACAGGACTGAATATCGAATTTCACTAACGAAAGATGCTCTCGATGATCCAGCTGAATTGTGAAAGAATGTGAAGAGGGTTTTAGAGGTTATAGTGGGTTTGTTAAAGAATAGGGTGTCAGCTAGCGATGAACCCATAAATAAGAAGCATCATGTAGAAAAGATAATCAAGAAAAAATAATTGTATAGTCACTAGCATAGAAAATTCGTCATGTATCCCAAGCTAAATCCCAACCTTGTATTTATTTTTTGCATCTATATTAATAAAATATTTTTTTTTCTTGGCAAAAGTGATTATTGTTCACGTGCACGTGATATTTTTATCTAGAGTTGTCATCCATCTGACGAAATTTAGGTGATGAAAGACAGTGACAAAATGTCATGATCAAGCTACTGTCCAAAAAAGATGAAGCTTTGCACAGTCACCATCTTCACTATTTCGCAAAATGCAATTAATAAAAAATTTTTACACATTGCGTGATATTATGGCTGAAGATAGATTTCGGTATAAAGTGTTCGGGTGGATGCCCTCTAAACGTTTATTCTTAGTTACCTGAGTACTCACGTGATTTCTGATCGTGAAGATTCTTCACGGTTGCACCTATGATGTAATAACGCAACTAATATTCCTCGATCATCGATAAATGTTAGACGAACGTCATGTATCACAGGAATAAGTAATTGCATGTAATTTGTTCTCGAACTTTCCTGCATATACTCAAAGTTTTGATCCTTATATATGGGATAGCGTCAAATGCTTCTATTGTAAGTTATAGTGCATGTTCGGATTTTTGTGACGTGATCATAATTCTTCAAAATCAACACTTGTGAATTATATAAAGAAGAGCCTTGGTTAGTGAAATTTTTGCTTCGGAACAATGCAATAGATCTGAAATCATTTCTTCTTGGGGAAGTTCTCTTACGAAAATTTGCTAAATCTTTAGTTTTCAAAATTATAGCTTTATGTTGATCACTTATTAATAAAATGTATCTTAAAATTTTTATGTTATCATGCGCTATGTATATTTTTTATTTTCTGATGCATACGGGGAAATTTTATTGGTAATATCAGCGTTATATTATTTTATATTATTTCTAAAATATTGGTTTTTTTCTTTGCTATCTATCGAAACATAATCTTTTCCTATTGTTATTAAATTTTCATCATTTCTGCAAGACTGCAACATAATTCTTAAGTTGACTCAACCGAATCGGAAATTAATCAAGAATTTACGGGGAATTTTAGTTTTGTAAATGCAATCTTCTAGATCGTCATATGGTCTCATAGACTCCAAAAGATCGGCACGTTTAGGGCCTATCCCACAGATTGATGTCAGCTCAGATTTTGAGCAATTGTTGATGTTGAATTTATCACTTTGCACTAAGAGGAATGCCCTTCCTGCAAAGGGACCAAAATACAACTTCCAACGATCACAGTCAACAATAGCAGACAATGGTGGCAATCTCGTTACATTGGAAGACCCACAAGTGTAAAGTATAAAAATATCATCCTTATCACATGCTTTTTCACGCTCTTCATGAAACGTTGTTTGGTTCACCGTTGTTGACTTTAGGCACTTGCATTGATGGCTTTCTATATGAAGTTGAGGAGTGTTTGCAAAATAAATTGGGCAAAATGAATCGCCAGCAGGTGCACTCGATCCATTGATTATGCAGGCAGATGCATCTTCAAGATTAAGATTAATTTGATCATCGCCTCTCTTGCAAGTTACCGTTTTATTGGCAGAATAAGCGCTTGATTTGGTACTTTGTTGCCGGGTAGCTTTCGCCAATGATAATGGTATGTTCTTAATGGTAGCTGTGCCAAAGTTATGCTTTGCACCAGCATGAATATCTTGTAATTTGATTTCTTTATCAATTTCAAATACATTTGATTTAAGGACACGAAAAGAAGCAATGAAATGTTCGAAATGTTGCCAAAATTGACAACCAGGAGGAATGGTTGGGTCCCCATCAGTCTGTAATTCTTTATAATACTTAAAATTCCAATTACGTAGAATACTATCACTTTTTGATGCATTTGCCATTAGCCACAACCAGATATATGGACATGTTAAAGTTCCTTCACCGCTAAATTCATTTTGTTTCTCAAATTTGATCAGCCCTAGTTTTGAGAGTTCTTCCGGTAAAATATTTGTGCCAGGAATGGGAACTGATGCTATCAAAGTGGTATGTGTCAGAATAACTCGAAGAACAGGTATTAGATAATGAGTTTTGTTAATCCATTCATTATAACGATCCTCAAGTTTATAACATACTTTTTCCGCAATTGAAACAAAGCTGTCATTTTCGATATCTACATCTATTAAAGCTGATTCAAGTGCTTCTAACGCTCTGCCATTTCCACCCATATCGCTTATTAACATATTAAGGAGAGGTGCATCTTTAAAGACTGGCTTTCCCTTTTTTTGGGGAGGATTTAAAGAACGAATTGGAAGGAAAACCCGCTTTTGATGAGAATCAGCAACCATTTGATGGAATGGACGTGCTAAAGTTGCTGTGCAACACGCAATAACAAAGGGGTATTTATTGTTCGTGGCAATAAGAGATATCTCCGTCAAAAAAGAATAGAACAATGATCGTTTGTCCATGCCATCATTTTCATTGATTAGAGTAGTTTGCAATCCATCAACAATGAGGATCACGGTCAGTTCCTTTAGTGCTACGTTTTTTTGATTAGCACATCTTTTAAGTACATCAGTAATTGAAAGGGTCTGCATATCATCACGAATTTCATTCCAGAGAAGCTGATCCTGAAGCTGGTATAACATTCGCTTAGAAATTAAAACATTTGCATCGGTTTCGGTAGACAAGTTGATTTTTGTTTCATTTTCTAAGGGGATGTTGAAGATGAGTGCTTCTTGCAAACGAGATCCCAGCTCTGGATCATTTACAAATATTCTGCGGAGTATTTTAGGAATCTCTGTTGCATTTCGAGATTTCCCACATCCAGCACCAGACACCATAAAAAATATCGGTGTATTTGATTTATCCCGTTTATTTTCTTTAAACACACCATATAGATTCCGAACATGCACTCTTAATTCTTCTTCCAACTTAGGCGATTTTTGATAATCCCAAGAAAGTCCATCAGTATTTAAAAGTGATAAAGGAGGCCGTTCTAAATCTAAAGGAATGCTATTAAAATCAAGCCTTGGTCTTTTATTTGGATAATCTAAAAATATAGAAACAAGCTAGTCAATAAAAAAGATCAAAGTTTCTTGTTCGAGGTAAATATTGGAGACACTTACCAGTGGTGGAGACTACAATGATGATATGAACCTTATCATGTGAAGGTTTATAACTAGCTGGAAAATTCGTCTCATCTCTTAATTTCGTCAATGATCCCATCTTCTTGCCATTAAGTTTTTTCTCTATGTCCTCCTCGGTGGAAATATCCTTAAGCTTTCCTTCATCTTCAAGCTCAACCTTCCAAAGCTTCATAGTGCCAGAACTAGCAAGTTCTTTTTTCGTACGCCGAATAAGCGTTTTGAGATCTGAGACAGTGGCATCGCTAATATCGATTTCAACGCTATTATCATCCTCAAGTTTATCGCCAACATTAACCTTGATAATATCATCAAAAGTGTCGCCTAGGCGTAAACAATTTAACGGCACTACCATTTTATAGGTATTTCTGTGAAGAGATGATAAAATAAAAGTTTATTTTATCGTGATTATAAACAAGGGTCAAAAAATCAACCTTTCAGTAAAATATTAAATAAAGACCTTTTTGTATATTGAGTCATATTATCGGCTAAAACCGGTTGATATATATGACGTAGATGATGAATGGAATCGGATATCTTCACTAATTACGTAATCACGTACGAACTTTCGTGCACAGACTTGATAAAAACTAATGATGAATTTTCCCCAGTTATGTCGGCAGGAATTTATTATTATTATTGTAATCTAATAAACAACTTCAAAATAGGACGAATTCCCAGTCCCAACACTCATTTGCGCTTTTAAACTTTATAGTAAAATTAAGAAAAGTAAAATTAATATTCAGTAAAGAATCAAGAATAAATGAAATAATATTACAAGGAAAAATACAGGATTAATTCATTTAAAGTCATTTCAAATGACAATTCACAAAAATAATTAAAAACGAAACGTTATACACTATCAAATTACAAGATATTTATATAAAAGAATTTGGTGTAACACGGGTGACTAAAGGGTAGGCCTGTTTTTAGAGTTTAACAAATTTATAAAATTGGATTGGGTAAATATTTGACAGGACGTCATAAAAAAAACCATTGGGATTGAGTCGATCCATTAGATTGAATTTTCTAACCCACGATTAGTTAATTAACGTAGTATAGTAAATTTCATGTCCTACTGAAAGCTTTTCTTTTAGATGATCGTCGAATTTTCTTATTCATCCCCCAAAAACACTCGAAATGTTTATTTTTTTTCATGGTCTTATATAGCTATATCGATTAGCTATTCAGATTAGATACGTGAATAATAAGGAATTCTCACCCACCCTTCTACCGGACAAGGATTCTTTATATATTTTACAAAAAAAAAAAAAAAAACAGTCCTTCCAAATAAAAAAATTCTATTCGTGTAACTCAACGAAAAATTATCGATTACTGTGAAACCCATCTTATTTATTGCTTCTTACGGATAGCTTGTGAAGAAATCTACTCAAAAAAATTCTTTTCTTCCAAAATAACAATACGAAAAATTATGATTATTGTAAAACCCATCTTATTTATTGCTTCTTACGGATAGCTTGTGAAGAATCCGGATCGGTTGTGGCTGTGCATTTACGAGCCAATATCTATTTTTTTGTTCAGAAATTTCGAGGACCTTATTAGGTGGAGAACATAAACTTTCGGTGAGTTTTACTAAGGTCGATATCGTTAATTTATTTCTGACTGCATGTTCTATGCATAACTGACGACTATTTTATTCTATCCAGAATATCGATGTTGGGGCAAATGAGAGTTAATGTTGGGACATCTTCGTATACAGTGGCGGTCAAAAGAATTGCATCACCTGAATGCAAATCTTAAAATTGCAATTTCTTGAGATTAAGAAATC